TGGCAACCTCAAGTGGAGAAGAATCTGTTCAGGTTCTTAGGTAAGAACGCTAACAAGACACTGATACTCTTCCCAAACTTCAAGTGAGTGTGAATGTCTTGGGCCCATTTTATTTTGCTTACTCCATGTTGACTTTAGTTAATGAGATATTCCTACGTATAAACATGTAGCTTTCACTGGATACTGCTGGTCATCGATATGACCAGGAGTCTTGTAAAAATCTTTGACTAACTGACAAAACCCCGACAAGATTACCAAGAAATCCCCGATATACTCCAGTGGTAATTACGGTCTCGCACACTGTATACTCTCTTATGCCATTTTAATGATATAACTCCATTTATTTATTTTGTTGAGCAATGCTTGGAAAACGTTAACCGAGAAACGCCATTATGGTAATCGGGAAGTGCCTAGGCATATAGTCCAATACCCGGTAAGTACTAGCTAGGTCACTGTATCTTTATTTAGTTCAATTCATTATTACCATGCTTCATTGGTTGATGATGAATCTTTTTTCTCGTAAAGTGGTGTCTGCAGTAGGGATCGGGGAACAACTTATGTGGATACTATGTCTATGAGTTCCTCATGGAGTACTCAAGGAGAACAAGTGAAGAAATCCTCGAAGTACATAAAAAATATACACAATTTATTTATTACCATTGTGTTGATATATATAATCATATATATATTCATACTTTTCCTTTCATTCGAATTGAAGATTGAATGGAGAAAGCAAAAGGTCCTACGATGTGACTAGATCAAAGCAATTCAAGAGGCATTGTCAGGATTTCTTATGGATCAGGTCATAGATCCCAAGGGCGCATACTACTATGACACTAAAGAATTAATACATAGTAGCCAAATGACTGAAGATTAGGGTTACAAGAAATCCCAAGGACATGAGTACAAGGTTTTTGTGACTTTATTATGTACATATTCCATGCATGTACAACCTCTTGAAATATTTGTATATATAGTTTCATACATTTTAGTGTGTTATTTATGTATAATGCTCGAACGGAACCTTATATGTACGTATATATGGACGTATATTAGTAGCGTAGAATTCGTATACGAAAAGCTAATCAAAACCAAAAAGAATTAAATTGAAAAGAAACCATAAAATAAAAAGAAAAAAATGGAAAAAGGACCCTTTTGTACCGGTTGGAAACACCAACCAGGACGAAACGTGCCAACCCTGGTGCAATGTTTGAGGGCACATTTAGTCCTGGTTGGTAATCGCAACCGGGACTAAAGGTCCACTTTCAGTCCCGATTCCTAGACCTGGGACTAAAGGGGGTCTTTAGTCCCGGATTCGCAATCCCAGTTGGAAAACCGGGACTAAAGGGGGTTTTCAAACCAGGACTGATGCTCAGTCCTGCACTAGTGAAGGGGATCACGCCACCGGGAGGCCACTAGGGTCCATAATGGGAAGATCTAGGCCACCTTCCCGTCGGGGGGCAGTGCACCACCAGAAGTTTGCCGAGGGGCACCGAGCCGCCGAGAGACCGTCACGAGCAGATATGGGCCGCCTTCCCACCGGGAGGATGCTAGGGGCGATGCGCTATTGGGAGCCCACCTAGGGAGAGGATGGTGACATGCCACTAGGACTCCGTCGCGTCATAGATAGCTCGTCGGGGTCCACCACTGGGTGTCGTGGGTGAGGGAGAGAGGGGGAGAGTGGTTGAGGGAGAGAGGTGGGGCCGGGAGGGAGAGAGAGTGGGTGAGGTGAGAGTGGCAGCCCGGAGAGAGAGAGAGTGTGTGGGGGCTAGGGTTTGAGACTTTCTTTTATACTCGTGATATTTTTCACTATCGGATTTTTTCTTGAACCGGTGGTGAAAAGCATTATCACCGCCAATTTCATTATAAACTGGTGGCTAAAATGTATTACCACCGCTGGTTCTATTACGAACTCTTGATGAAAGTCTATCACCGCCGTTTTAATAGAACCGGCGCTGATAATAGTGTTGGAGAAAAATACTTTGCGCGGTAGTGCATGACCGACCATATTACAAGTCCTGTAGACTTAAAGCTGCCACACGACAAACCTATACACCAACTGACCCACGAGCAAAGTTATGAGCACGTCATACAGCCGTAGCTTCCTTGCTATAGGTCGTGATTCATCCAACTTGAGTTAAACTAGTAAAGGTACAAATTACATGGTACTCCCTCCGAATAAATCAATTCTTTGAGTTATCTTAGGTTTGACTTTTTTATGATTAACCGAGACTATAGAAAAAACATAAATATTTATAATATGTGTATATTATGAAACTATATTTTATGAACTATCTAATCATACTAATTTGGTGTCATAAATCTTGACACTTTTTTCAATAAATTTGATCATACTTAAAAAGCATTTGACTTAAGACAACTCTAAAAATTAATTTATTCAGAGACAGAGGGTGGAACTCATTTGGCCGGGTTATCTTAAGAGCAACTCTAACATGCTCTTTATAACCTTTATTATTGGTATATGAACAGAGTTTTTGGTTAAAAGTGCCCTCCAACAACTTCTTTATTTTGTTCTCTAAATATTATCATCCTTTAGATATGCAGAGAAGCGTTAGCTTTTTAGAATGCACACCGGATATAGACACTACTGGAAACTCAAATATTTCTGTGTGTGCAAAAACCCATGGAAAAATTCGAATACCCACGGAAAAATATTTTTCTGACTGTGTACTGTCAGAAAATAACACACAGAAATAGAATAACAGAAAAATCAAATTTTTCTGTGGGTTCACCATCAGAAACAATTTTTCTATGGGTCTCACACGCACAGAAAAATTGTGTTCGTCCAGATTAAAACTAATTTTTATGTGTGTTAATCCACACAGAAAAAAGAAATAAACGCACAGAAAAACACATGTTTTTTTCTGTCGGTCTAGGTGAACTCACAGAAAAATTTATTTCGCCCAGATTAAAAAAAATATTTCTGTGTAGCTAGCCTCACAGGAAAAGAGTTAAACACACAAAAAAATTATTTTAAAACAGTAGCAACTGCATATTAAAATATATATTTTCTATACAGTAATTTCTGGGCATGACCAACAAGGTTTCATTCAAATAATACATAAATCAGTAGTTCATCATGAATGGAGTCAACACTTATGTCAAAAATAGAATCAGTCTGATCTATCAGCACATATATCATATATACATATATGATATCTGGTCATCTACATGTTCAACATGAATACTACAATGAATTCACAAATATGGATATCGAAAAAGAAATCAAACTATTTTTTCTTGTTCAACCAATTGTAAACTGCTTCACCTTGCACTCCATCTCTACCTGTAAGAATAGTCAAATGAAATCATGGTGACAAAATCAATGGAAATAGTAAGGCTATTTGGTTAATCTAGATTCCACTCAATACATATTATTATCCATTGTCTTAATATGAAAGGCAGTGTTTTAGCCATTTTCTGTCAAAATTGAAAAAGATATGGTACAGATATCTTTAGACTAACAAAAGCAGTCAGTCACAGCGCAATCGACAGTAGTACTCGAAGGGACCTGCTATCAGATAAAAGAAACGAAGCATTACTGATGGACCCGCTAGCAAATGAAAGAATCAAAGAATTAACTGCTGCTGTGAAAGAAACTATCAATCAGCACTCCATCACCAGTGCTAGGGTTGCAATATATAATCTATTAACAAATGTACCATTATAGGGCATCAGTTACTAAAATTCAAAGACATATTCTTTTTCCTCCCAGCTAGGCATAATCATTTTCCTCCCAGCTAGGCATTTGTTCAAACAGTTGGTGAACTGACCTACTATAGTCCTCTTATCAGTTTCATATATTTATATTTTTGGAGCAAAAACTATTTAAGTTAACCAAGCAGAACACAGTATATCGTATATTTATTCAAGTGAGCAACTAACCACAACACATGGAAAAAGAAATCAAGCTTACCCTTCGATGTAGATGGAGTTTGATTTGACGTTGCAAGCCACACTGGGTCAGTATCAGTCATCATAGTATGCGCTCACCTGCACTGACATGCATCTATTTGCTAAATCAGAGTAAATAACTAAAGAAACTAGAAAACAATACCTCGTTGGTGCTCGTCAATGAAGGACTGAGGAGAGGAGGAACCAGGCACCAAAGTAGAAGGCCTCCCACCACCTCCAAGTGGCGCACCACAGCATGGCGGACTAGGCACTAGGTGGCGTTGGCAGCGTGAGGGCGCAGGCCGCAGGGGCATCATGGTGTCGGGGGCTGAGGGCCGCCGCCACTGGGATCGATTCAGTGGAAGGAGGCGTCATGGTCGCGTCCTCGCATGAGGCTCTCAAGGTCAGGGGAGGCAGCGGGGAAGGAGAAAGAAACTGCTTCACCTTCCACTCTATCTCTACCTGTTAAGCAAAGACATATTTTTAGACAACAAAAAAACACTAGTATTGTAAGAAGTTTGCCTTTTTATTGAGCATAGTGGGGACTGCTCAGTACCTTTCATCTCAGGTCACAAGCCAATTTGATTTGCACCGAATGCCATCTACTGAAAAACAGCAAGGAAAATAGAACGCACTGTAGAAAATAGAACAGGAAATTGCATCATATAGCTACCAAAGTTCAGAGTAGTCCTTATGGCAAAAGATAATTGAAGAAAGGAAGCTTCACTCATCCTAGTTAAGCAGCAAGCAGAACAAAATATCTTAAATTGCTATATCTACCTAAATGGAAATGAAAACTCACAAAATATTCCACTGATTGGGGAGGCTAGAGTAGTGGAGGTGGAGCGGCTGCAAAGCCAGCAGATCAAGATAATTCATGGGAAGTGCATGCTAAGGTGCAGGACAATTCCACCGATTGGGGAGGCTGGAGCACCGAGAAGCCAACAAAGAGAGGCAATCAGATTCTGGACAACCAGCTAAAATGGATACTTAATGATAAGGGTGCTAAAATGGATTCGAGATGCGGTGATGATAATTGGGAGAAGTAGTCCAAAGACTCCTGAGGCATCAAATAAAAATGACCCATGGGGCAAATCAGAAAATACATGGGACAAAAGAAAAGGAGATGGAGGTGATGGTACCGGGAGAAGAAGTCGATGATGGCCATGGCAATTGGGAGCATCCTAGCAACCGGAATGGGTAGAGTTTGAATGTAGATCAGACGCTGTGGGGAAATGCGGGGGGGCAAAAAAGAAGGCAGATGGTAATCGCCAATGGGAGGAGCAGCCAAGCACTTACAAACGGAAGAAGACAAATGTTGATCATGATTCCTCCTGTAACAATGTGATGCCACCATCAGGCAATGCTTGGAATCTTTGGAGATGGAATTGGAAGACCAAATGCCAAGTCTAATGCAGGATCCAGCTTGGGGTGAGAAAGATAAGATGGAGTCGATGAGCATCTAAAAGTCCCAAAAGAATCGACATATGGAATATAGGGAAATCAAATGAAAGTCCATGGGATAACACCGATGCACTATAGGATTCCTCTGGGTTAACAAATGCAACTCGCATAATAACAACGCTCAGGATGGTTCATGGGACAAAGTAGTAGCTATAAAGGATCCCGATTCACAAGAAGATTCATGGAGTAATGTGACAATCCAGAAGAATGATGCACAAAATGATTCTTGGGACAATGTAGCAGATAAGGCCCCAAATTCTGCCGCAGAAGACTCCTGGGGTAATCTGGTTGCAACACCAGTGGGCAATTCAGATGCTAAGAAATCAGATTCTTGGGATGGCTGGAATGTTGTGCCTGCTGAGAACTCACAAGGTACTGCTCAATGGAAAGAGACAATTGATTCTGGTAACAAGGACTGGAAAGCGGATGGATGGGGTGCCAAATCTGGTAACTAGAGCAGCCAAAGAAACAATCCTGGGAGACCCCCAAGGAGACCGGATGAGAGGGGTCCACCTCCACCAAGACAACGGTTTGAACTAATAGAGGAGAGGAACATTCTTCTAGAAGTTTAACCCATAATATTCCGTGTGAGAAGGATCTTTCGTGAAGCATGGTAAATTAATTCACAATCGCTTGATGATTTTACGTGCTTCTTAGTACTTGAAGTTTCTTTAATTAAACAATGAAAATGTGACTGATGTTTTACATGAAAGAATGCGATATGCAAGACAGGTAGCCAATTGGCACAATAATGTCCAGTACCCAGGTTCATCTATATTATTGATGTTGAGTAATCTTGAGTGGTTTGTCACATGAATGCAATAACAGAAAGCTAACATGGTAGAATGGACAAGTTTTCTTATATGAGAAAGATGTCTAAAAAAATCTGTAGACCAAAATAGATGCAGGTACAGTTCAGTAACGGTCTTTTATATTCACAGGTTTATACTTGTGACAATGGAAATGACTACACATACATAGTATTTTAATACAACAGAGAATTAAGTAATGTGAAACGCTAACCCAAGATAGATTGAGAAATAATTGTTACTAGACAATAATTGTTGTACTTCATAACCGAAAATGTATCAGTTTAGAAATCCAAGTATTTTTCAAACATCTACACCATGTATGAGCTCTAAAAAATATTGGAGATTGTAACAACAGGAGCGTGCTTTTAATTCTAAAAATAGCACACATGTGACAGGTTAATTAAACATGAACCAGGTTTGAGCAACCACAGCTCACACACATTGATCTATCGATCCACCCCCCAAATCGAATCCTAAACCGAGCACAAAAACCCAAATAGATTACGTTAGCTAGGGTTTGGGTGCTCGGTTTCAAGGGAGAGCAAAGGGGTGGGCGCATACCTGGTGGGTGCTCATCGCTGGCGAATGTCGAAGGCCCAACGAAGACCAGGGTGAGCGCAGATCCGGAGGAGGGAGTCGACGCCGGCTGGAGGAGGGCGGCAGCGTCAGCCGGATGTGGGTGGAGGGAGGGGCACCGGTTGGATCTGGTAGGAGAGGGAGGCGCCACCGGCCAGTCTGGAGGAGGGAGGTGCCGCCATCCGGTCTTGCACGGGCAGCCACCGCTATCTTCCGAGGGAAGGGAGGGGAGGAGTTGTAGTGGAGTTGGGGGTGGTGGCCTCACCGGTGGAGGAGGGGGTGGCCGCCGCGATGGTGGAAGAGAGGAGGGAGAGGCGATGGGAGATGGTCGGGTCTCAGGGAAGACTTGCACGGCTGGAAGAGGGGCGCACCTCGGCCACCGGAAGGAGGTTACGCTCGGAGCTGTAGATCCGGACACCAGGGCGGGAGGGGGCAACGCCTGGGAGAGGAGGGACAGCACGCCGGGCCGAGCGCCGCACAAGAAGGGCTGCACCCTGGAGGAGCAGCGGTTGGTTGCAGAGAACGACGTCGAACCAGCAGCGAAGCTCCTTGGTGCGGCAGGAGGCAGATCTGGGGGCGGCGGGCGGTGACGGACCTAGGGCGGCGGGCGGCGGCCATGGAGCTGGGGTGGCTAGTGACGGCCTGCGGGCGCCGGATATGGAGATGGGGCGGCGGGCCTGGAGCTGCGAGACCTAGGTGCGACGGGAGTGCGGGCGTGGTCTCGGGGGGTGCGGGCGGCGCGTTTAGGATAGGGATGGCGGCCGCGTCTGGAGATAGGTTTAGGGGGTTTTGTGTGTTTTTTTTTTGCGTGTATATAGTTTTTCTGTGAGTTTTGAAAAGACTGACAGAATAATGTCATTTTTTCTGTGTGTATTTACACGCACAGAAAAATCTCACGCAATTTTTCTGTGGGTTTTCGAATATTTCTGTCGGGATTTTTGAAACCCACACCTTAATTACCAATTTTTCTGTGTGTATAGAGAAAAACGCACAGAAAAATTCATCACCTACAGGAGTATTCGAGTTTCCAGCAGTGAGAAAAAGCAGTACTATTCTATTGATTCGCCGGCTTCAGCTCCTCCAAGCCAAATAGGCCCTAACACACCGACCCATCTATGCATGATTAATCACGGTTGATGCATCAATCAGGTTTCTAGCTAAAAGGCACTACCGACATAATTTTGACGTGTATGGAGAATCAGAGGAATCACAGAATCTATAGCTATAGCTAACCTAGCTGGTAGAGAAGACAGAGGCTTTGTACCCAGATTCGTCCCTACTCCCTAGCTGCTGCCTTCAGGCAGCCAACCATTGACGTGGTGGGTACCGAGTAGCCATCCAGGTGTATATATCTATGTGGATAAAGCCAAGGATTGATCTCGACTTTTGCGTAATCTATGTGGAGGGTGAACCGACCCACCAAGTAAAGTTATTAGCTCGAAAGCAAGTAAAGAATTAGCTCAAGTAAACAGAAACAGGAAGAATCCGTGGTGGACTAGGGAAGACGCATCCGAGTGGACTGCGTCTTACGTATGGATCAATGCTTCGCAATTCGCAATTCGCAATTCATTGGGCCGTTACTAGGGCCGGCCGGCCGGGAATGCATGCAAGCAGTTGATCATTTATGGGCTGTAGATTTTGATAGCCCTACCCTCGATGTGAAATATTTACATGTATGGCCTTAGAAAAAATTTGTCTTACTTCTTTGGTCCAATTTTTTTGAACTTACTTGTATGGTCTGAGAACGAAAATTTCTTCCTTCTATGGCCTTCCATCTAGTTGAGGCTATTGACGGTGTTAAGTGTGGGGTAGATGAAAAAATAAAGTGTAGAGTTTAGTTTGACTATTTTAGATTTAGAGTAATATTGCGTAAATAAGGTCACACGTAACAATATATAAATTATAGTTTCAGGGCTTACACGCGATTAATATATTGTTGAAACTTTATATTATTTTTTTGAGCATCTTAATAATCTTAAATAAAAAACTTAAAACTATAAAGTTGTAGATCCCATCGAGAGCTACAACTTTCATATATAAAGTATCTCCATTTGATACCATACAAGAAAGATATGATTTTTCCAAGGTGACAAGTGCTTGTACTGGATTAATATACTGCTGAAACTTTGTTTAATTTGTTTGAGCATCTTAACGGCCTCAAATTAAAATACTCAAAACTAGAAAGTTGTAGATCTCATCGAGAGATACAATTTTCGTAAAAAAATCATCTTCATCCGAGATCATATGAAAAAGTTACAATTATTCTACTGAAACTTTATTCTTTTCGCTAGGGGTAAATAGTAATTTTACCCCACACTTAACATGTCCGTAGCTTGAATTGGACGGAAGGCCACAGAAGGAATAAATTTTTGTTTTCAGGCCATACAGGTAAGTTCAAAAAAATAGGGCCATGAAGGAAGACCGCATTTTTTTAAGACCATACATGTAAATATCTCTTCATACTACACAAATCTTAACCGTGGTGGGCAAAAAGGATTAACCGAGGCAGTTTTTGCAACCGCCTCAGACTAAAGGTCACGGTTAATCGTGGCCTTAACCAAAGCGATTTTTGAAACCGCCTCGGTAAATGCTATTATCCGAGGCGGTTGAGTTATGTCGGCCGCCATGGTTAATAATTTTAGGAAATAAAAAAAAAGCCCACCGAGCCCGCCAGCGAGCCCATTCCTGAGCCCACTAGATCCGGCGACGCAGGACGCCGCCATCGCCTCCACGCCGGATCCGCTGGCCCCCTGCCCCCTTCTCCGGATCTGCCCGCTGCTCGCCTCCACGTCGGCCTCCTCCTCGCCTCCACGCCAGATCTACAAAGAGAGAGGCAAGAGTGAGGAGACGAAGAGAGGAAGAGAGAGGGAGATGGGGAGAGGAAGAGATCTCCTACCGCCACATGGCGTCCACCCCTACGCCGCCACCACTGCTCCTCGCCGGATTTACGCCCACCGCCACCACGGGTCACCGGATCCATGACCTCCTCTAGTGTAGCGCCGCCGCCGGGGGAGGAGCTCAGCGTCGGGAGAGGAGCTCGAGGGTGCCGCCACCTCTAGATCCACGCTCGAGAGAGGGAGAGAGGCGTCGCTGCTATAGGTTAGGGCTCGGGTGAGGGAGACAGGAGAGGGAGAGAGAAAGGGAGAGGGAGTGGGAGAGCGAGAGGGGGACTGGGATAGGGAGGCATGGGCGCCGTCGCTCGGTCACGGGAGTAGAGAGGGAGGCACGGGCGCCGTCGCACGGAGAGGGAGGCGCGAGATGTTTCAGAGGGAGAGATGAGTGTGGCCTCCAAACCCTAACACCCAGTATATATACTTCGAACCTGTTACTGGGCCTAGATGGGCTAGCTGGGCTCGCCCACATTAACAGATGCGGGTCTTATACTTGCCCACCTCCGAAAATAGATTTATGGAGGCAGGCAGCCTAAGACAACTGCCTCAGTTAATAAGTATTAACCGAGGCGGTTGAGTTTTCTTTTACATTGCCCGCCGTGATTAATCATTAACCGAGGCGCTTGCTAGGCCGGCTGCCCTGCCACGAATAACAGAGGTGGGCAACTGGTCCAACAGCCTCGGAGCCTATTTTCGAAACGCCTTGTAAAATATTTTGTGTAGTAGTCAAAGAAACCGAGGCAAAGAAAATAAATTTGGCACATTGCGATATATAGGCCGCATCATGCTTAAAAGCTTTCATCGACGATCCGATCCAGCACTTTCTTTCCCTTCCTTCCGTGGGTTCATCGATTATCACATTTTTTTAAACAGTGAGATTGGCTTGTTCCAGTCGAATCAAGACGACTGGATTATTTAATTTCAGAGTTTCAGCCATGAAAAATGTCTTATTGTAAGGTAAAGGACATGCATCTCTGTCATGTGTAGCTTGCAAGTCTAATTTTGCCTCTTTTGATTTCCTATAAACTGATAAACAGATTCCTGTAAATCGGTTAAGGAAGCATCACATGAAGCATCAGGCATTAGAACCATGCTCGATGACTTTGGAGAGTCAGACAACACCGTAATATGAGGAAATGAAGCATGCGATGCTGTTGTCCTGTCATCGGTTCGAGA